AGAACCCCTCACAATCACCACGATCGGAGCCAGAGACAATCACCAACCTCCGCTCGATGATCCTCGCTGCTCCAAGACATCTAGGTGACGGCTACCACCAAGAGTAACAAGCGAATCCCATAGCAAAACACGAACACCAAGTGCCTCTAGATGCAAACACTCAAGCAATGCACTTGGATTCTCTCCCAATCTCACAAAGATGATGAATCAATGATGGAGATGAGTGGGAGGGCTTTGGCTAAGCTCACAAGGTTGCTATGTCAATACAAATGGCTAAGAGAGTGAGCTTGAGCTGGCCATGGGGCTTAAATAGAGAGCCCCCACAAATAGAGCTGTTGGCTCCTCTGTCTAGTGAAACACGGGCTGACCAGACATGCGCAGTTAGGTTGACCGGACGTAGGACCCCAGCATCTGATCGCCCGATGCTCGCCATGTGTCATCAACCTCAAATACTGGGCGCTCGATCTTAATGGCTAGTTAGCTTCGCGCCATAGGTTATGTTGCGACAGAACGCACTACAGTGTAGGACCGAGCGCACTGTCGCCTAGCGTCTGGTCACTTCCAGTAAGGTTCTAGAGGCGGAAATTTACGACCGGACGTGTCCGGTGGCTCATGACCGGACCCAGGCCTGCGTCAGGTCAACTCAGCCTCTCTTTGTTGCTTGCGTCAGTGTACGTCACTAGGTGACCAGACGCACCCCCTGCGCGTTCGGTCCCTCTTTCTCTTCAACGTCCGGTCAAGGGACCGGGAGCAACCTTTACTGCGCGCCACTGACCGGACGCGGGGTCAGAGTCCGGTCACTGCCCAAGGCAGAGTCCGGTCAATACGAAACTTCTCCTTTTGACCCCAAACTTCACCACCCTTGATCAAATGTGCCAACCACCAAGCGTATCACCTTGTGCACATGTGTTAACATATTTTCACAAATGTTTTTAAGGGTGTTAGCACTCCACTAGATCCTAAATGCATATGCAATGAGTTAGAGCATCTAGTGGCACTTTGATAACCGCATTTTGATACGAGTTTCACCCCTCTTAATAGTATGGCTATCAATCCTAAATGTGATCACACTCGCTAAGTGTCTCAATCACTAAATCAAAAAGCTCCTATCAATTTCACCTTTGCATTGAGCCTTTTTGTTTTTCTCTTTCTTATTTTTCAAGTCCAAGCACTTGATCATCACCATGGCATCACCATCATCATGTCACGATCTTCATTTGCTTTCACCACTTGGAGTAGTGCTACCTATCTCATAATCACTTTGATAAACTAGGTTAGTACCTAGGGTTTCATCAATTCACCAAAACCAAACTAGAGCTTTCACCCCGCCGCATTGTTCGCCCCCTCCACAATATTTGCGCCACCTCCTTCGTGCACCTCCAACTTCTCCATCAATTGTTATTTGGGCTGGTATAATGGGCCTCCGGGCATACTGAATGTTTGAGCTTGCTTCGTCGGTTTACGACCCCCAATTTTCGCCATGGATCTCCAATTTTTGCCATGACCTCCAATTTTTTCCACGAGTCTCCAATTTTCGCCACGGTCTCCAATCTCGCCACAGTAAAGTGCTAAGCACTCTCCATGTTCTCTAAATTTCACCATGGTCTCCATATTTCGCCACGGTCTCCATATTTCGTCATTGTTCTCCAATGTTCTCTAATATGCTCCATGTTCTCCAATGTTCACCACAGTATAGTGCTAAGCACGGTCCAAATTTTACTCCAATGTCCAATGCTAATCATGGGGATTTCATTCTTTTTACAAATATGAACAAACTCCAAATAAACATAAACTGCTCTGTAAGATATAAAATTCATCAATATATCATTCCTGATAAACTCCGCTCTGCTTTCTTCATCATTGCGTTCATATATTCCGTTATCCGTTCTACATATTTGTATTGCAGGATTATCATATAGATGGTCGCACCACCTGGAAATCGTATTTCTCCACCGATCAACTGGTCGGACCGTAGGTTCATGCCTTCGTCGCCGACCATGTGGTCGGACTGTTTGGCATTCACATCTACTCGAGATCACTTCACCGCCGACCAGTTGTTTGGGCTGCTTAGCGCTGAATTCTTGGCCAACCAACTGATCGGATTGTCCGTCCCTTCATCGTTAGTGATGCTGGAGGCCCGCCTGCTAGGCTGGGGACTCTTCGGTGTTTGAATTCTTCGTGCAAACGTCGCTAGCTAAGCTGGAGACTCCCCGGGCAATCGGATTTTGCTACGTCTCGACTGTTGATTCGCCTTTTGGCTCACTACATTTTGTCGACGCTGCATGTCATATGTGCTATCAAGGTGCTCCATGCTGTCTAGATCAGGGTGCTGATCTTGGGTGGCACATCAGGAGCCTTAATAAGTACATCTATCGTAGCTATCCAGTGCTAAGCACGGGGACTTCATCCTTCACACTTAATTCTTTGATCCTGCTACAAGATGTTTCTCTATCTTACAGCAGGCTCGGGGACTAAGTGTGTACACTTGACCTTGCGGTGAATGTACTGTTATTCCTTCTTACTGGTTTTCAGCTAAGCTAGGGGCTAGCTGTGTGCTCGGCTACGCAGGGAGTTGACTATCCTGATTTAGTGATTGTTGTAATTGTTTGATCCTGACACCAGATGATGATCATCTGATTTCGTCAACGAAGCCTAAGTGTGTACACTTCAGCTAAGGTCGATGTCTCCGGCAAGCTCTGCTACTACTTTCTTCGCCGATCAACTGGTCGGATCGCTAGGTTTATGACCTTCGTCGTCAATCAGCTGGTCGGACTGTTCGGCACTCACTTCTACTTAGCTCTCACTTCATCGCCGACCAGTTGGTTGGGTTGATCGGTGTTCGTTTCTTTGCCAATCAACTGGTCGGATTGTCTGTCGCTTCATCATTAGTTACACTGGGGGCTCGCCAGCTAAGCTGGGGACTCCTCGGCGTTCGGTTTTTTCATCGCTTCATCGCCAGCTAAGCCGGGGATTCCCTTGACGGTTGTATCTTGCTACATCTTATTGGTGTGCTATCAGCTCGCACCATGCTGTTTGGATCAGGGTGCTGATCTTGGAAAGCACATCTGGGTCTTGATACGCACATATCAAATGACGTAACAAGCTTTCAGATTTGTTTTCTTTGACCCTACTACAAGATTCATTCTTCATCTTCTAGCAGGTTCGGAGACTAAGTGGCTACACTTCACCTAGCGGTGAATATAGTGCTTTTTTTTGATTTACCCTCCTTATTTGACTAAGTTATGGATGATTCCTCGCAAACGGAGTCTAAGTGGCTACACTTCGCTTAAGCTGAAGAATTTTCAATTTTTTATCATGAGCCCATTATATCCTTCTAGTAAGCCTTGCTTGGCTAAATCCGAGATCTGCGTACCAGTTAAACTGGTCGGCTTCGATTTTCACCGCTCAGTTCACCAGTTAAACTGGTTGGCTTCAATTTTCACCGCTCGGATCACCGGTTAAACTAATCGGCTTCATGTCAAACTGCTCGGACTTGCTCAAGATGGCGTTGCTCAGCGGATACAAGGCGCTCGGGGACTAGCTGTGGGGGGTATAACCCTAGATACCCACAAAGAATGGATATGGGCATGACACACGGTGGGTGGTCCAAATAAGAAAAGAAGCGTGTGATGCAAGACAGTGATCGACATGCATCACACGGTTTTAGGAAGGAATCTTGAAGATAGAGAATGATCTGTTCAGATATGATACATATCGTATTCCTTGTAAATAATTACCATATACCAGAATAGATCTAGATTTAACCGACTTGTAATCCTGTCCCCTAGACTATATAAGGCGGGCAGGGACCCTCCTCAAATTCATCTCATATTCAATACAATCCAACAAAGACACAGGACGTAGGGTATTACGTCGATCAGACGGCCTGAACCTGTTTAAATCGCTGTCTCTGCGCCTTATGTCACCATCCGGTTCCTATTACGCACACCTCCACCGATCATCTACTACCGTGGATATACCCCTCGGTAGACTCCCGACCAGATTTCGTCGATAGGAAGGCCGCCGCTGGCCGGGCCAATGGCCGTCGCTGTGAGTGCGCGTGGGCAGCCACGTCAGCGCCCTCAGGAGTAGCATCACGGCTAGCACGCCGGTGCTGTGCAGGTGGAGGAGGTCGTCGTCGGCCTCCATCCGCTGCGCGCACCCGTGGTCGCCGTGTCGCCGCCGCCACCGTCGACCCCTACAGAGCGAAGCCGGTGCCGTGCCGGTGTAGCGTGGCAGAGGGGAGGTCGTGCAGCGTGCCGAACGCTGAGCTGAGCTATGCGCATGATGAGGGCCATGTCGTCGGCTGCTCCGTGTCCGTGGACTATGCTGGACAGGGTGTGCACGCCCGATCACTCCACCCGTGCAAGCTAGAAGGGGCGCGCGCTGTCCTACTACTGTCCGCGGAGCACGCGCCGAAGCTTAGCGGCGTGTAGGAGAGCCTGCCCGACCTGCAGCCCCACGGCTACAACGTGCTAGTCAAGGCCTACTCCAAGGGAGAGCGCGTGATGCTCGCCCTCAGGGTGTTCAGCGAAATGCGCGATCACATAGGTGAAGAGGAAGAGTGTGGAGAAGGAGAGGGCAGGAGTAAGAGGAATATTTTACACGCCCCACTGACTCAGATCTATGTAGATGTGAGGAGCTGACGTGCCACACGAGCAAAAATTATATTTTTATATATGTTTTCTCTCTCTACTGTTAAAACCGTAGCGCCAATTTTAAAAAGTGCTATCCGATATATCGAGGTCTGTAACGGTAAAAAGTTAAATATCGCCGCACACTCGCATGGCGCAGGCGTGCAGCGGTCACGCGCGTGGCGTGCCGACCGACTTTTGTCCCGCCGCCATCTAGGCCCCACCCTACCCTTCTCTTCCTCCCTCTTCGTCCTCCCGTCGCCCTCCACCAGACCAGCTCAACGCCTTGCACGGCCGCACCTCGACGGGTCTCGAGCTAGGGTTTCCTCCGTCGCTACCTCCCTTTTACGCGGCCGGCGCGCAGCCATGGCGCTGGTGCAGGCGGGCATGGGCCTCACCCGGGTCGTGGTCCTCGTCGGCGCCGGCGTCGCCGGCTCCGTCGTCCTCCGCAACGGCCGCCTCGCCGAGATCCTCGGCGAGCTCCAGGTGCGTCGCGTATCCTGGCCGCGTGCTGCGCTCCTGCGCCTGTGATCCCGCGGCTCCTTACCAGTGAGGGAGCGTGGAGATCCAGATGCTCATGCTCTGGTTCTGATAATCCATGACGTGTGGGATTGCAGGAGATACTATACAAGGGGAACAAGGGGAAGGACGGAGGAGGGGGAGACGGGGAAGCCGATCTTAACGAGGCGCTTACCTCGCAGGTGCGTGTGATGTCCTTGCCTTGCTCTTCATGTGACTAGTTCGCCGCGCGAATACCTTAGTGCCTGCTACTGCATAAGAATAATTCAGGTTCAGCATGGACATAGAGTAATATTCCGGTATTTCCATTTGTTCAGTGCACTGGCTTCTTTCAGCACTGAATTTCAAAAGTAGAATACATCATGCATGCGGATTGGTGTATGTGATTGGATGTTATGCTCATGTTGATTGTTTTGCTGTTGATGCTGTGTTCCGATGGTCCAATGGCAATGTTATCCTTAGAAGTATCCTCCTCTTTACAAAAAAGGAGAGCAAAAATATCAGGGAGAACAAATATGCTAGATAAAAAAACTGGCAACATACTTTGCTATGCTGAGACTGTTTTGTGTTATTCTAGTGGTTGATCCTCCTTTGGTGCAGTGCCCATTGCAAAGTGTCAAGTTGAGGCTTTTGATCATGTATATAATGTTTGCCAAGTTCTTTGTGCTCATTAATTTATTGTCTAATATCAAAAGAGAAACCACAGTTCTATATCAATCTACCACTGCACTTGTGTACTTCTCTTCTAATATTGTTCTTTTGCAAGTACATGCTTGTCTTGAACATGTACCATGACCATAGAAACAAATCCTTATATCTGTACTCGTCGAGGGTCCCAGTAGTGTACAGTGCTGCTATAATCTTGGGATTGTTGCTTCCACATTTCGTAAATTCAGTGAACTCTCTCGTCTGCAATTGTTGCCTAACCCAGCTTGCCAAGAACTAAAAGGCTTTGTTGTATTTTACTGGAGGTATAATATCCTGAAGTAAGCTCAATTCAAAATAACATTTGAAAGGTATATATTTTGCCTGTTTTGTTATAGTTGGAACTTAGCTAACATAGCTTTTCTGATATTAATATTGTTGTTTAGTTTTCATGTTCTGATGCAGTGCAAACACTTGTAATTATAGGAATCCTTATCACCTCTGGAAGTGTGCATTAGTTTTGCATTGATTCTCTGATCATTGTGAAGTAGGGGTATACACTACACAATATAGGGCTGGGCAGAGACCTAATAAAGAGGTAGTAGTCTAGAAGAGGGATTAGACTGTAGACTGGGTTGACTTGGTTATACTATTTTCTTGCTTGATGTCTGGGGCCTAAAATCCCTAGTATATATAATATCAGTCTTAAGTAAGTAACTAAACTGTCTGATTGTTATGATCTCAAATATCTAAGCATTGGCCTGACCCCTGGGGAAAAAGAAACGACCTTTGATGACTTGAGAGAAATAGATTACTTGCTTGATATTGATGAACCATGCTCCATCCTTGGTGTTGACCCACTCCTATTGCCATGTGGGTACTGTTCACAAGCCTCAGTTGCAGTGCATGACAGGCCCTGACATGATGTGGCTATAATCCACTAAGATACCAGTGTATGATACTGATTAATGAGGTTGATCAACTCCTTACAATTATATGCGGTTTCAGTATTCTACATGTGCTGTTCAATTGTTATTATATATATAACTATAAATATACTCCTTGAACAACTACAACTGTCGTTTTTTTTTTTTTCTTTTGTCATCGTTCATTATCTTTAGTCGTCATCTTCATTCAGTTTTCTCATGTCAAATGGAAACTGCATTCCCTTTAGGTGCGTCGCCTAACCATGGAGGTCAGGCAACTTGCTTCTTCACGTCCAATAACTGTTCTCACTGGAGGTTCTGGACAATCAGGTTTGTCTTGCTTGCCTTGAATTTGGAAATATGGGAGTGAAAATGACAATTCCAGAGTATTCTTATTTTCACTAAGAATAGATTGATGCTATCATTATTTTGTTTTATGCATATTATATGCTTGGTGATGCACCATGTACACCATAACATTGATTTAATCACTTTTCAGGAGTATCAGGCCTGATAGTACCTGCAGCAACTGTAGGAGCACTGGGTTATGGTTATATGTGGTGGAAAGTATGTTTTCTCCCTTTTATCAATGCTTCTATGTTTTCTTGGTTGTTAGCAATTTCTTTGACAGTTTAACTGCCGAAATTGTAGGATCTGACTGCTTTCTCCTACATTCTGATCATTTTGTTGTATAACCTATTATTTTTACAAAGAACTTAATCTAATTTAAGTATGGTTCTTACTATTCTGAAAAGGCAGATATTATTTAATGATTTTTTAGGTTTTATTATTAAAGGCATTAACTTGTACTTGTTATTCTTGATTTGGTCTTCTATAATCTAATATCCAGAAGCGCATAAAATTTCTTAATAAACAATTCATTTTTACTGTTCATGCCCAGGGGATCTCGTTTGCCAACCTAATGTATGTCACCAAGCGCAACATGGCAAATGCTGTTTCAAGCATGACTAAACATTTGGAGCAAGTCCAAAGTTCTCTTGCTGTAAGTACTTATTCTTTTCTAGTTTATCACAGGAACTATGCTTTCAACTCCATACTGTGTCCACTATGACTGCTAGTTTATTGTTCTCTGATTTGATACTACTATGGTAGAATTTTGAGTTTAATAACTATTCTTTTAAATGATCGTAATAGGCCAGTACTCATGTCTCTAGCATAAAATTCTTATGCTTAGTTAATCTAACTGATTAGGTTATTATAACAAAAGGTAAGCTGTTGAAGACAACAGGTGAATGTACTTTATTTAAGTATTTGTTATTAGAAGTGAGACCCTTTTTTGAAAACCAGAGTAAGAAGTGTGTAAACTTTGCCCTGGTTAGTCTTTTTTTGTTCTTTGGCCATTTGCACCAGAAATCTGTTACCATGTGTTTGAACTGATATTTGATCACATCATTGAAATCTATGTTCTTGAATTTATCTTGCAAGTTGTTCATTGTGTATTTCTGCCATATGGTCTGAATGCCATGTTGTTTCTCTTTATCAGTTTGTTATACAACCTATGTGCTCTCAAATACTTAATCATTGCTCTTGTTTATACAGGCTGCTAAAAGGCATTTGACACAGCGCATTGAAAAGTTGGATGATAAATTGGATCAGCAAAAGGCTCTATCTGGACAAATAAGAGATGATGTACTTTTTCCCTTAATATGACACACCTTCATATGGATCTGCATGTTGCATCAACATGCTTTCACTTCTTGAAAGTTCATGAATTCAATAGTTTTAATCTGTACTAGCATCTACATAAACACACCATTTGAGACAGTTCTGTTTACTTCTAGCTGTGTAATACTGAGCTGACCTATTGGCATCAATTGAAAAGTGCATTGTTCATATGGTTTTGAAATATCTACTTACCTGTTCAGGTTACTGATGCACGTCTGAAGCTTGAGAATATTGGTTCAGAAATTAAGAACATCAAAGAATTGGTTTGGGGTCTGGTAAGTGTATACTTTATTTGCAGGTCACTATATAATTGTTGTCACCAAGTTATTTACACAATTCCCTTAATACTCCTGCAGGATGGGAAAATTGATTCGATGGAAGCTAAACAGGTGAGTGTTTACTTAGAAAAGATAGGTTTTGCTGAAATGAAGTGAAGTTAACAAAATGTCATTCTAAAAAAACATAATGTGTTAAGCAGATTGATGCTATGATTTAGCATGTGTAAATATATTACTATAAGTATATTACATTAAAAAAACATGTGTTTGAGGGTAGGCGGATTGATGCTATGATTTAACATGTGTAAATATATTACTGTAATACGTGCACATGGTCCATGCTTTTCTATTGGGAAGTTTCCAAATGGTCCATGCATGCTTTCATAAGCCATTACAGTGGGTCACGTAGTGCACAAGATGCATCCTCATCATTTTATATATGGTTCCTTAGTGATCTTTCTTATTTTGGCTGAATACTTGTTATCAACAGGACTTTTCATGTGCTGGTGTGATGTACCTCTGCCAATTCATTGAGCAAAATGGTGGAAAACTTCCGGATCGCCTGGTATGAGCATTTCCACTTATGACTTTTGTAGTCCTTCACTTTTGCACTTGAGTTGATATTCTGAGATATTTTCTGTGCAATGGTAATTGCAGTGTGTTATCATGTACCTAGGTAGTATTTCCTTTGTACATCTATGGCATGATTATTAAATATTGCTGATCCGCCATCTCTCCTTCGATTCTGCTGCTGGCCAACTCTGCCATCTCCTGTTAGAATTTTGCTTCTACTGGCTTTATTTCTGCCATCTCCTGCTCACCAATCGCTCGATCTGGATGGGGTGTCGGCGGCTGTCGATCTGAGGGTGCAGAGCAGTGATCGAGGCCTCGAGGGAAGCGGGGAGGGATGGGCTGCCTGTTGTGCTGGGCCAGTCCACTTTCTTACTCCTCCGTTCTTTATTTTTTCTTGGTCATCTACGGCTCTGTAGCACGGATACGTGAAGGAGGTGCCGTATCGCGTATCCTTCGAGTATCCTATTTTTATTTAATTTTGGGAATATTGAGTACGTGACCTGATACGTATCAGGCGTGTGGGATACGGCCCAGCCCAACAAGAAGCCAACGCTCCCCTGTCGCGATGTCCTGACGCGGCGACGCCTCGCATGGCTGCACACGCGCGCCGCCTCCCGCGCAGGAGATGCGCCACCGCTCGCTCGCTGCTGGCGATGAACCCCCACCCCCTTGCGCCGCCTCCCGTGCAGGAGATGCGCCGCAGCTCGCTAGTCGTTGGCGACCAGCCCCCGCCCCCTCGCGCCGCCTCCTGCGCAGGAGATGCGCCACCGCTCGCCGGCCGCTGGCGACGAGCCTCCGCCCCCTCTGTGCCATCAATCAACCTCTCGTCTTCCAGGTCGTCGCTCCAGGGAGCACTGCGCTGGGGAGCACCCACCAGTCCACTACGGACGCGGCGCTCCCGCGATGCAGGGAAGAGGACGATTCAGCACTCATCACAGCAGCAAAGCTAGCTTCCGCCGATCTCCCATGAGTACAATCCCTTTTCATTCTTGATGTACTCTACTTCTGCACTTGTTGCCTGCATCCAGTAGATGGACTCTCCAAATTTCAGCAGTGCTGGCGCAAGTGCTAGTGCTAAGTCCAACTGGTTAGAGCGTCCCAGCGGCACTCCTCAGGTACTGGGTTCGACTCCCCGTGGGAGCGAATTTCAGGCTGGGGTTAAAAAAATTCCCCTCGTCTGTCCCACGCCAAAGCATAGGTCTAAGGAACGGCCCTGTTCTCACAGGGGTACAGTGCCGTTGTGTATGGGTGGGGCAGGGGTTCGCGGGTTTTCTGGACCTGCGTGAGAGGTTCTTCTTCTTAATGCAATGCCCAGGGGGTGGCTTTCCCCCCCGCAGGTCCAGTTTTTAGTCAGCTAGTCCTTGCATAGGATCCACCGGCATAGATAGACTTAATTAGTAATTGCACATTCATCCAGTATAGTTGGACTAGGATCTCCTGTGAAAACTAAGAAACCTACAAGGTGATCTGGTGATGTATCATATATGATTGTATGTACTAAACTAACAATTAGTGATTACTCAAATTTTACACTTTCACAATTTTAATTTGCATTATTATTTATTTTATGAAAAAATAGTAAAACGTATCCACGTATCGGGTTTTATGAGAAATTGCCGTATCCGCGTATCCGTATCCTTTCGATACCGATACGCGTATCCGTATCTGTGCTGCATAGATCTACGACTCTAAGCTGCTTTTTGCGGTTTTCTTTTTTCTTTTCTGCAGATTTGTTGGTTGTCTGTTCATTTCAGTTAACTTTATTTTTTGAACTGTACAGGAAGGCCCCAAAGTGACTACAAAGCGTTTTGCAGATCAAAGGTTCATACAGGTTAGTTAAAAACCTATTTTATGGAGCAGCAGCATTTAGATTGATTTGCACTCCTTCCTATAAGTAGCAAAGCATGATTCAAATATTGGTGGCATTGAAAATGCTTGCTTCAAATATCTTTGGAACCTCTCCATCTTATATTTAATTATTTACATTGATGAAAGTTAACAACAAAGATGCCATTTAACTAGCCTGCAAGTTGTTACAATGGATGCTAATTTACATTTCAGGGATTGCAACTGGCGATAGAATCAGGGAATTGTGGCAAGGACACCATCGACATGCTGTTGAAAGATGCTGATTCCTCTGATAAGATAAACAGGTTTGAAGATCCTTGTGCCGTGCGAACACTTTCTCTTTTAACCTTGAAAATTTTGGCATAGATCAAACTAAACTATTCTATGGTACCGAGCTAATTATTTGCAGGACGTCCTCCATCAAATCTGCCAGCTAATTATTCTCGGGAACCGAGCGTAACATCTATCTATCAAGATTTGATGCCCAATCGGAATATTGTAAAGGGTTTTCATTTCAAGTAAACATGTAAAGAGCTGCAGCCTTTTGCTTGCAGGAAGTGATTTTTTATTTAATTTGTAAGCTTGCGTAAAATGCTAGTAGTTGCTACTACTTAAGAACTAAAGCCATTCTTTGATTTTGTGGCTTCGCTTTGTGATATGAGAATGCAGCACGTAATAAATGAAAAACACTATGGTTGGCTTTTGACAATGTGGACTTGTAACCTAGTGGAAGTAGACGGTGGCTGAGTGGGCACCGCCATAGAGGTGGCGGTGCCACCAGAGAAGGGCTGGTGCAGCTGGAAGAAGAGGGGGGGCATCGGACAACAACGTGTGCACTGCCCTGGTCACCGCCATGGAGTGACGGTGCACTGAACAGGGGGTGGCGGTGCCACCGCCCTAAAATTCTAGAGAGCAGCGACTTGGGGACTTAGGCACTGCCCTGGTCACCGCCCCTAGGGTGGTGGTGCACCACCCTATGCACAGTGCCTCAAAGGTCGGCTTGTTAGTGAAGCAATGGTTAGTCCACGTGGCGGTCACCGCCCTATTCGGTGACCACGCAGAGAAGAGGATCTCGGCCACAATGGCTAGTTTTGACTTGGGGGCTATAAATATTTGCCCCAACCGGCCATTTGGAGTGTGTGAGAGCTGAGGGAAGATAGGAAGGTGTTGCTACACCTCATTTGTGCTCTCCATATGCGTAGAGCTTAAAGATCACATGGTGATTAGTGTAGGTGCTTTGCGAAGTGCTTAGGTTAGACCACGCTTATATGCGCTTGCTCTAGGCTTAGGTTTAGCTGCTAGTGAGGTTTGTATACCTCTCATCCAAAGGTGCTTGCGCGCACCGTGCTTGTACTCGGCGGGGCTTGTAGTCTTGTGAGACCACACGAATCGCGTTTGTGGTGTGGCCACCACCGTGTACTGAAGGGAACAGGGCTCGTGGCGTTTCGGTCGGAAGCTCGATAGTGAAGACGACGGGGAGCGGTCCGGGAGAGGCTTGCCGGAAGGCACACCGGAGACCCACTTGCACGTGGGGAAGGCCCGGGGCTATCTACGGAGTTACCAACCGGGACCTTGGCCTTTGCGAGAGATTCCTTACGAGGGGCTCCAACGAGGACTAGGGGGAGCTTGAACGTTTCTCGATACCTCGGTAAAAATACCGGAGTCGTTGACGGGAGTTTGCATCTCTACCTCATCTTTACCTTCCGCATTTATATTGCTACCTTGGTTATGTGCTTTACTTTCCTAGCTTAGTTGGTAGGCTAGTTGATAGGATTGTAACCTAGGTTGTATAACTCTTTTGCGGTAGAGATAGCAACACATCTAGCAAAACTGTATTTGCACATTTAGATAGATTACTTTCTTGCATAGGTTTTGACTAGGTGAAATTAGAGGCCTTAGTTAGAAGTAGAATTTTAAGTTGCCTAATTCACCCCTCTTAGGCGTCCTGGTCCCTTACATGTGGTATCAGAGACGGTTGGCTTAATTTGGACCTTTGGCTTCACCGCCATTGAGCCGACGCTATTTAGAGTGGTTGGGATAGATACCTCTAGGCCTCCGCACTTTGACGGCACTAACTTCCCCTACTATAAAGCTAGAGTGGCTTGCCACCTTGAGGTGGTAGATTTGGGTGTTTGGAGAGTCACTTGTGATGGAATGAAACCCATTAAGAATCCCGATAAACCCACAGAGAGTGAAGAAAAAGAAATTCATTTAAATGCTAGAGCTAAAAATTGCTTGATTGAATCTTTTAGCATGGATGTGTTTAACCAAGTGTTCACTTTAAATACAATTAGTCATTGGCAAGATAGTGGCATTTGAAATGTCACGCAAGATGGGTCAAGAAGAAGTCTCTTCATCAAGCAAAGGCAAAGCTCTCGCATTTAGTGAGAAAAAAGAAGATGAAGGGCAAGCAAGTTGAGACAAGCTCAAGCTCAAGCTCCTAAAGTGAAGATGAAGAAGAAGAAGATGATGATGATGATGAATCAAGTGATGATGATCAATCTTCCTCCTCCGACCTTGATGAAGAATCAATCAAACTTATCAACAAGGTGGAGAAGATGATCCAAAGGCTCAATCTCAAGGGTGTGCCCATCTAAATTTAAGATTTCATCTTCACCAATCAAAGAAATAAGCAAAGGAAGAAAGGATGCTATGAATACGGCAAGTTGGGACACTTTGTGGAAGTTTGTCCAAATATGCCCACACCCAAGACAAAGAGGAAGGCAAGAAAGGCGAAACACCAAGCCCTCACCACAATCAAAACGTAGGATGATTCATCAAGTGAAGATGAAGCCCAACACAAGAGGCTAGACCACAAGCACTCATCATCAAGCTCTTCTCATGTGTGCCTAATGGCATGAGGTAACGAAAGCTCATCCTCTAGTGAGAGTGATAGTGACGATGAAATGACTTCTCTTAATGAACTTGTGTAAGAAAATCTTAAATATGCTAAGGCTTCCACTAGCCAACAAAAGAAGCTAAAAATATTGCAAGAAAAGCTAGATAGTTCACAAGAAGCATATAAAACCTTGCTTGAACAATATGAGACATTTGCTAATCTCAATATTGAACTGTATACTAAAATTGAGCAACTTGAGGCTAGTGCAACAACAAATGCATGCACAATCAATGATGAGCAACTTGTAAAGAAAAATAAAAAAGTAAAGGAAAAGTTAGCTAGCTCACAAGATGCTTATAAAAGTTTGCTTGCTAAAATGAAAACCATGTGTAAACAATGTGATGTGCTAACTAATAAAGTTGCTAATCTTGAAGCCATCGGTACAACCCCCACCGAGGCACCTAAAAAGAAAAGTTCAATCTTTGACATACCTAAAAAGGATGCCTCTACCTCTTGCAATGATTTATGTTTAGACTCACCCTTTTGCGACCAAGTTCATTTTGAGAAAGTTATTGTAGAAACATGTACACAAGAGGTCGCTTTGAAGAATGAGCAACTCAAGCAAGAAGTGGCTTGCCTCAAGTGAAAGGCAAGACAGAACAAGCCCAACTTCATCAAGATAACACCATCAAGGGAGTGAAGAAGCTTGATGAAGGATAAATCATGGTTTGTTACGTGTGCCACAAGAAAGGCCACAAGTCCTATGAGTGCAAGGTGAAGAATGGGGGAGGAGCTAAGAAGAAAGAGAAAAACAAAAAGCAAACAAGCAAGCTTTCCAACACCTACACCAACAAGGTGGACAAGAAGGCTTCCACACCTTATCTCTTGAAGAAGAAGAAAAATGACAAGGTGGTGGCTATCAAGGTGAACAAGCAAGCCAACAAAGGGGCCAAACACATTTGGGTGCCAAAGGAGATCATTTATAACATGAAGAGCACCATGAAGGTTTGGGTCCCGAGGGGTAAATAAGAAGTCCAATGGATTATGGGGAATTTGGAGACTTGGCAAAGTTTGGGTGCATTTCATGGGGTGCATCACATCGGATCATGTAATTGCCAAATATGTTAGTGAATACTATGGAACCAAATTCTCCTTCCCATGTTACGCAACTAGATTTAATTTCTTGCAATCTCAATTAGAATCTAGTTCATTTTCATGCCTAGTTTTGCATTTGCATGTTTAATCTTTTGTCTTGCATACAATAGGTATATCTTATGGTAGGCTTGCTCGGTACCACTCTTACCCTTGGAGCAAACCTACATGGTTTAAATTGTTTAGGAGTACGACACATAGCGTTTTCTACAAGTGTGTATCTAATATGTGCTAAAGTCCAAATTGTAGATAATTTCCCCCAAATATCATCTTTGAAAATGACCCTCACATTCATGTGATGTCATCTTTCAAGTGGTATTTTTTATTCTAAAATTAATGTGCATGTCTCCTACAAGTATTCCATGCTTGTATGCATAAATTTAGGGGGAGGTTACTCTACAAGTTGGATGCTTTGAGACTAACACTATTTCAAGTTTATCATGTGTGTAATAGTCTCATTGCAAGGAAAATGGAGTCCCCGGAGTTAAGCATCATACTTCAAATATCTACCACCTATTGCAAGTGGTATAAATCAAACTGATTTCCACATGTGGTATTTCTAAACCGATATCATCATGTTGATTTCACTTTGGTACTTATATGCTTTCTCCATGCATTATATAGATTAAACTCCCTTGAGCATTAATTTGCCAATTATGCATATACTACATCCTCCATCATATGTATGCATATATTTAGGGGAAACTTAGTCTATGTAATGTGAGAGTCAAATTTTGTGACCTATTCCACTTCACATACAAAGGATCACAAAGTTTGACCCTCCCTTGTGCTACTAATGTCTTCCTTTTCGGTGTTTAATTCCAAATGGGGAGAATTTTGTAGGACTAAAAGCAAGCATGATCATAATAATTTACAAGTGGTAGTGGCCCTAGAAAGGGAGAATAGTGGATTATGGAGTTAGGGGGAGGCTTAAGTCCATAATGCCATTTTGGGACATTTGCAAGGGCAAGATAAGTTTCCAAAGTTTTTCACAAGTAATTTCTTTTTACATCATATAATCTTGTCTTTGCATTGCATCCTAGCAAGTAGATAGTTTTTAAATTTTTGCATCTATTATTATTTGCTTGCTTTGGTCGTGTTGTCATCAATCACAAAAAATGGGGAGATTGAAAGAAAAATGGACCCTAGGCCCATTTATATTGGATTTTGGTGTTTGATGATTAACACAACTAAATTGGACTAATGTGTTTGCCAGTGTTTATTTTATAGTTCAATAGGATGCAACATGGACTTGGATCAACTTTGGAACATGAGGAAAATGATCAACTGAAAGTGCTATCAAGCCTTAATTGTGGGTTTTGGTGATAATGACCACGCAATTAGAGAACTAATGAGATTTATCAAGATGACAAGC